AGAGTATTTAAGTCTAATTTATTTTCCTAGAATTATTTCATTCTCTTAAAGTTCTCTGGATTTCTTTTATTCTTATTACATTCAATTACATTTTAGATATTTTTTCCAAGCCAAGAAAACTGCCACTTACATGTTGAAAATGTTGAAATGAGATGCAGTTGAAATCTGTTTCTTAAATCTTCTTCCACAGGAAAAAAAAAAAAAAAAAAAAAAAGGAATAAGTCAGCCCTTTCCCACACGATTCCAGTTTTGACAAATTGACATTTATAGATGAAGCTTGTTCTTCTAAAACATCCTGTTCAGCTCTATTTAAATACATAGCAAATGTGAGCAGTGAAACTATGTGATGCAGCATACTTTATCTAGGGCCCAAATCGTCAAATATTGAACATGGCCACAGGAACCTTATTCAATAATCACCAAAAAACAAACCAAAACCAAAATCAAAACAAAAAATAATACAAAGCACATTGTTTTTCAGACTTGCAAAGAGAGATTGCTCAGAGGAGGTACCTGAGTTGCAAATAGAATCATTTCCATGTCATTACTTCTTTCGAAAAGGTGTTTAGAATACCCGATTGCTATTTCGAGTAGAAGCAGGGGAAAACAGTGTTTTTAAACTTGATAGCGTGAAGCTCACTGCAGCCCAAATACAGCCAGTTTAGAATGCTTTTACCAACAGCTGGGACAATATAAACAATTATTCTTTCTTTTTACAGATAATTTAGATCTTACTACATGTTGCGCAAGCTAGCATTCATGAGTAGCATAGGACCAGCTATTGTACCTTAAATTTTTGGATGTGAATTCTTTCTTCAGCATCCAATAGTGCAGATTGCCACAAACTAATCATATTCATGAGGCTTCACTAGACTAATCAATGAATACTGAATAGGCTGGAACTTTAATTTTCAAGTATTCCTTTTTTTTTTTTTTTCAGAAAAATGCACAATAGAGAACATCATTCAGTTTTGTAGATCTTCACTAATCCACTACCCTTCATTTAGTTCAATAATCATTTTATGAATTAATTCATTCATTTTACAAATCTATTTATTTTTATGCTTATTGCCAAATGATACAATAAAAGTATTTTAACAGGCATTTTTGCACTCATGAAAAGATCCAGAAACAAATAAATCGAGGAGACAACAAGGAACGCAGTGCAGAGTTTATAATATAAAATCTAAATATTAATGTAAATTCTTAACACCACAGGTGACCAATGATGTAGTTAAACAATGGGAGATAGTTATTTTATTTTAATTTGTTGCCAAAATTTTATCAAAGAGTCTGAGCTATGTCTCAGAAAATAGACATTAGGCAGCCTTCAAAACAGTCATTACAATAGTGAATTTTAAAGAAAGTCCTGGTAAAGCCTAAGCTGTCATTGCAGCTGAGTATAGACAAGTTTAAAAACTGGCAATACAGTCTTTTCTTAACATTTTTGGAAATTAAAAGAAAAAGCAATCAACAGAAAAACTTAAGTCACATCCTATAGCCACAGTAGTATACTAACGGGGTAGAATCAAGGAATAGATATGGAAATGCAGAAGGCGACCATCTTTTAAATTAATACTGTACAACAAGCTTCAGTGATCATGAATACAAGTTTCTAAGCTCCTGTACAACTGTTAGGCATCAAATCAATCCATATTCAAAACAGATCTGTGTCCAACTGAGACAATCCAGAAACACCTCTTCTATATCTAGAATTTGGATTGCCAAGAATGAAGATAGAATAGAAGGCATCAACAATGCAAGAAGAATGAATAGAGAGTATGGGCAAAGAAATAGATTGGGAAAAAATGTAAATCATGACTGCAATAAAATTTAAACACTCACTCTGTTTCTTAGTCACCTCTAGACTGCTTCTTAGTGGTTGCTGACCACAGCCCAAAGCTGCTTTGCCCTAATCTCTCTCAGATTTACTGTTTCTATTTGTGGAGAGAAAGGAATATTTGTTTGATTCCATAATTATTATAATGAAGCCCCCCCTCCCTTACCCGTTCTCCTCCCCCCCACCCCCCACCCCCAACTCACCAAAGGCTTTTACTCCAGGTTTAAGGTTTTACAACCTGGAGATTTCCCATACACTCAACCATTAAATCATGAGAACCAAGATACACAACTGGCATCATTAACCTTCCTTTTGGTGTCTTTCCAGGGCAGTTCATTACAGGTCTCCCAAGTTTAAATTTTCAGAAGATAGCACTCCCTGTTTTGCCAGGGTTATGCTTCCAGGACCTCCAGCTCAAGCAGGATTTTGGCAAATGGCACAGCAATGGGAAGCATGGCATTCACACCAGTGAAAGCCCAGTGGTATAACTCTCTGATAAGAGACTAGACCAAACACTGCTGAATGCAGCATCATGTGAAACAGAAAACAAACCTACTACTTTCTAGGGAAGGGTAGAGAGAGACAGCATTTTTATAAACTGTTTAGAGACTGGACAAAAGCTTTGGAAGCAAGAGTACTTGCTACCACCAACTGACTGGAGGACCATAAGCAACTGATTTATTTACCATTATCACTTCAGAAATACTCTCAGTTCAGCTATGCACAAACTCACAAACACCAATGGAGTGCTTGCATACCTAGGTCTATGTATCATTATTTACAAATAAGCAGCATGATCCAGTAAGGACAGCTCAGCCTCAAATATTTTTCAGTTCTCAGCAGAGTCAGTGTCAGCATCTGACACCGCATCTGACTCAATATCTGAGCAAATTTGCTGACGACATCAAACTTGGAGGAGTTGTGGACTCTGATGCGGGTGGAAAGGCCTTGCAGAGCGATCTGGACAGATTGGAGAGCTGGGCGATCACTGGCCACATGAAGTTTAACAAAGGCAAGTGCTGGGTCCTCCACCTGGGATGGAGCAACCCTGGCTATACGTACAGACTGGGCAATGAAATGCTGGAGAGCAGCCCTGCAGAAAGGGATCTGGGGGTTGTGGTTGACAGCAAGTTGAATATGAGCCAGCAGTGTGCCCTGGCAGCCAGGAAGGCCAACCTTATTCTGGGGTGCATCAAACATGGCATCGCTAGTCGGTCGAGGGAGGTGATTGTCCCGCTCTACTCTGCACTGATCCGGCCTCACCTCGAGTACTGTGTGCAGTTCTGGGCACCACAGTACAAGAAGGACATTAAACTGTTGGAGAGCGTCCAGAGGAGGGCAACAAAGATGGTGAAGGACCTAGAGAGGAAGACGTATGAGGAGCGGCTGAGGGCACTGGGCCTGTTCAGCCTGGAGAAGAGGAGGCTGAGGGGGGACCTCATCGCGGTCTACAACTTCCTCGCGAGGGGGAGTGGAGAGGCAGGTGACCTATTCTCTGTAATCACCAGTGACAGGACCCATGGGAATAGAGTCAATCTGAGGCAGGGGAAGTTTAGGCTGGACATCAGGAAGAGGTTCTTCACCAAGAGGGTGGTTGCATGCTGGAACAGGCTCCCCAGGGACGTAGTCACTGCACCAAGCATGTCTGAATTTGAAAAGCGATTGGACCCTGCACTTAGTCACATGGCCTAAAAATTGGGCAGACCTGTGCGGTGCCAGGAGTTGGACTTGATGATCCTTATGGGTCCCTTCCAACTCGGGATATTCTACAATTCTATGATCTCATCCTTTCATAGTACAAACCCTTCATGCCCTCACAGTCTTTACAGTCATTAATAGAACTGCCCTGCATAGCTTGAAAAGCAGCTTGCTCCTCTGAGCATGAACCATGCATGCCATTACCAATTCCCCCATCCTGGAGGTAGCAAGGCAGGCCCTACTCTAATTAACAAACTGACATGTTTCTTTGATGCATTAGAAAATATCTCCTGTAAGTACATGTGTTCTCCATATACCTGTATATAGAGAACAGTATTATTCTAGCATGTAAGGCAGGATCCAAAAGAAAACGCAGCCAAAACAGACAGTGTCTCCACCAGTGCAAGTGTCAGGAAGCAATTTACATTGAATCTATCCTAAATAGAAGACTCGTATCATTCACTTTTGTATTTGCTGTTCTTTGCACATTTTTGCTGCTGTTGATTATGAACAGTGCAAATGATTAAATTCCTGAAGTAGTGTTGCCTGTGTGATTTGTCAGGCAAGCTGCACTTGCACTCCTTTTGATCCACTTATTGCAGCACTGAATTTACTTTCCTGCTGCATGTGCGATAGGGATTCAGATGTAATCAGTTAGGAGCAATAATGCATGTAATTTTGAAATTCACATATAACATACCACAACTGATTGTGAAATTCACCAGATAAATGATTTATAATAATTATTAGTTGACTTTAAATATCTTGTGAATTATGTACCTCTAAGAACATACTGCTTGTAGTTGGGACAGAGATCACTGAAACAGTATAATCCATATTTGTTGTATCAAGATATTGCAAGAGGTTTATGCCTTTTCTTGCATGATATAGGGGTGTATATCTAAACAAGGGTCTGAACCTAATATTATCGTTAATAAATGTTTTTAAAATGCTTACAAGCCAGGATGAATAAATGCACATTGCAGATTATTTCTCTGTAGAGTCAGAGGTGGAAAAAAAGAGGCTATAAAATATAACAATAAAAACAACTATATTCATGGAAGTATGTGCCTGCATATGTAATTTACTGATTTTATTAGTTTCCATATACCTGTAAAATAAGTTTGACATTGTTCTAGCCCTCACGTTATAGTAGTTTGTGTTTGATCAGTCATCCTGTTTATATGAATAATTTAGTTCCAGTAATAGCACATTACTCTGAAAAACATAGCAGTAGGGATGTCTCTGTGGACTTAAGTAACGCAATAGCTAATGTTATCAAAGCAAATTTATTTCCACCTGATAGTGTTTTCAGAACTAGCGAAAGAAAACAATATAACTAGATTCTTTGTGGGTTTTTTTTGTGTGCATATGTGTGTTTGTTTTTGTTTTTTTCCTAAAACGATTTCAGTTTAAGGACAAAAATATTTTTAAAAAATCTCAAAGCTCAGATAAGACTTACACATGGAAGTATTCCTGAAGCAGAGTTCAAAGAGAAGAACTTGGTGAATCAGCAGTATTCTAGTTTCTTGGACAACTAGAAAACAATGGAGAAAAAAAAAAAAAAATAACAGTGTTTTACCATAGTAATATGCTGTAAGTTGCTTCCCATCAATTTCTTTATAAATTTAATTAAAGGAAGCCAAATTACATAAAAATGCTAAGAATCAAAATATTTAGAAGACTTATCATTAAAATGAAAATCAGTATGGCAAAGGACATGATCTTTCTCTTAAGATTCTCCAAAGAACAAAATGCTTCAGTTTGTTTATTCTTCTCCTCACTCTTTCATGAATACTGCCAAAGATCAGCAAAACAGTATGATATTTCAGTGGCCATTACATTTTGTTTTTCAACTGCTTGGTCTCCCTTACAAAGGAATTGCCTCATCAATTGCTTTGGGAAAATTGCAATGTAATTCGGCAAACTACATTGGCCTCACTTCAGCCATTCAGCATTATAAAACTTGCAAAGATGCCTGAAAGATGTAGTTCTGGTTCAGCATCAACCAAGCATCCTGCCTTTTGCAGGATGGATATTATTTGACCAAAAACTATTTACAACTGCATTGAAAAGGAACAGAGATTTGTATCTATCTGTCACACATACATTTTTACTACAGACACAGAAACACTAACATAGCTTAAAGTTAGTTCAGGATTCTTAGCAAACTAAAAGCAGAGATTAGAGTCATCTGCTGAGGTCAGACTACACAGACTACACGGTGGAGCTGAGCAGATAGCCATGTGGAGAAGAAATATTAATGAATGCTTCAAATTATGCCAAAAAAAAAATAATAATAATAGTACCATAGTAAATATTCAAAAAGTCTGCAGTACTTCATCTTTCAGTGAATTGCTGTTTTACCATAAGTACAGACTGCAGATACCGGGGAGAAAACACTTCTAAATATATTCACAATCACACAGTGAAAAAAAATAAGAGATCCAGTCAAGCAAAATGTTTGTGTAAGGGTTTGTTTTTCCACAACAAATGCTTAGTGTACCTAATGTGTTTCTAACACTGTATTGCCAATTATTTCCCACAAAAGCTGAAGGATACCTTTCACTTGCAAATTCAGAAACACAAGTACTGTATAGTCTAGGGACTGGACTAACACAGCCCAAACCCACAAGGCCTCTACTCTTGCGCTGCCTGCCCCACAGGCTTCCCAACAGCCTGGCACACATCTCAGCTCTGTGTACCCTTTGCATCTTCTCCTCCTCCTTCCCACCTTCCCTGCCTGCCTTTCCTTAAAATCTAATACCCACCCATTGCAGCAGTCTAGTCATGTGAGCTGGCCCACCAGGTCTCCATTATTCCAGTCATGAAGTTAGATCCTTCTGCTTGCTTCCTAGGCTTCATGCATTTTTGTACATATACTCAAGATACATATATCAAAGATTTTTGTACACATACTCTTTCTGCCCTGTTTTACTATTCCTGAGGTTTCTCCTGCCAAACCCCAATCAGCAACACAGGCTTCACAACTAGGTGAAGAACCTGCAGGACCCACCAGGTCCTCCCCAGGCCTTTCCCCTCATCAGCAGGCCAAGGAGACCCCAGCTAGGCACCTTGCTCCAAGCCTCCCCAGCACTACTGCTGACTCTGATGGGGATAAACAGAAGAGGTTTGAGCCCCTGATTTGGGAAAACCCCAGCAGGTTCTCCACAGCACCCTAGCCCTGGGCCCTCAAAAAGCACTCTGGGAGCAAGCCAAGGCCTCTGTGCTCCGCAGAGGGGTCTCTCCCACTGCCATCCCTCTCTATGTCTGTCCACTGCAGATGTGTTGTTCTGGTGCAAGTCCTTCTGCTGCCTCCTCAGACAGCTTCCACCCCTCAGCTGCTAACAGGGCACTAAGCCTCTTCTGCAGCCACAGATCTGGAGAAGAAGACAACATTCCTCACAAGGGCTGTCACCAACCTTCAGCCTCCACTATCTTGGGCATCTCAATACCAAGCATGACCACCAGCTGCCCCTTCACTGCCCAGCAATGGGATTTGGGCACTCATCTCCACCGTTTCCTTTCAGTTTCTCTCCACCCTCAACAGCCAACCAGCCTGATCGCCAGCTTCTCAGTCAGGACAGCCAACTCCCTGCCTCAGCCTGCCCCAGGCCAGGGCAGGGCACCTGAGGCCCACTGGTGCTGCAGATGGCACCCTCTGGCACATCAGCTGCCTCGGCCTAGCTGGGGAACTCCTTCCTGGGTGCTCTGCGGGCCACAAGCAGCCAGACCACAGCACCCACTGTGGTGGTCTCCCTTCAGAAACTGATGAGGCCTAAAGGCTCACAGAGGAAGACCGTGATCCCCTAAAATGAACCTATTGTTACTTACACCTACTTCATGTTCATTTTAATGGCTACCCAACAGCAGGGCTCTCTAAATAGCTGCTCCTCAACCCCCTGTAAAAACTATTTCCAATAGTTTTTGCAGGAGGATCTGGATAGTCTGGACCGATGGGTTGAGGTCAACTGCATGAAGTTCAACAAGGCCAAGTGCTGTGTCCTGCACCTGGGGCGCAATAACCCCAAGCAGAGCTACAGGCTGGGAGATGAGTGGTTGGAAAGCTGCCTGGCAGAGAAGGACCTGAGAGTATTGATTGATAGATTGGTTGAATATGAGCCAGCAGTGTGCTCAGGTGGCCAAGAAGGCCAACGGCATCCTGGCTTGTATAAGAAGCAGTGTGACCAGCAGGGCTAGGGAGGTGATCATCCCCCTGTACTCGGCTCTGGTGAGGCCGCACCTCGAGTACTGTGTTCAGTTTTGGGCCCCTCGCTACAAGAAGGACATCGAGGTGCTCGAGCAGGTCCAGAGAAGGGCGACGAAGCTGGTGAGGGGCCTGGAGAACAAGTCCTATGAGGAGCGGCTGAGGGAGCTGGGCTTGTTCAGCCTGGAGAAAAGGAGGCTCAGGAGTGACCTTATTGCTCTCTACAGATACCTCAAAGGAGGCTGTAGCGAGGTGGGGGTTGATCTGTTCTCCCACGTGCCTGGTGACAGGACGAGGGGGAATGGGCTAAAGTTGCGCCAGGGGAGTTTTAGGTTGGACCTTAGGAAGAACTTCTTTACCAAAAGGGTTGTTAGACATTGGAACAGGCTGCCCAGGGAAGTGGTGGAGTCACCATCCTTGGAAGTCTTCAAAAGACTTTTAGATGTAGAGCTTAGGGACATGGTTTAGTGGGGACTGTTAGTGTTAGGTCAGAGGTTGGACTCGATGATCTTGAGGTCTCTTCCAACCTAGAAATTCTGTGATTCTGTGAAACATGGTTAGTACATTTGGAATCAGATCTGGCAAGGAATGTTAGGAACAACAAGAAGGGCTTCTTCAAATATGTCAGCAGAAAAAGGAAGATTGAGGAAAATGTCAGCCTGCCAAGATGCCAATGGTATCCTGGGGTGCATTTGGAAGAGTGTTGCTAGCAGGTCAAGGAAGGTGATCTTCCCTCTCTATTCAGCCCTGGTGAGGCCACACCTGGTGTATTGTGTCCAGTTCTGGGGTACAAGAGGGACGTAGAACTACTGGAGCAAATTCAGAGGCAGTCTATGAAGATGATTAGAGACTGGAGCACCTGTTATACAAGGAAAGGCTGAGAGAACTGGGCCTGTTTAGCCTGGAAAAGAGAAGACTGAGGGGAGACCTCATTAATGCGTATGACTATCTGAGAGGAGGGTGTCAAGAGGATTTAAACAGTCTCTTTTCAGTTTAGCCCAGCAACAGGATGAGAGGCAATGGGCACAAACAGAAGTACACAAAGTTCTGGCTGAATATGAGAGGGCACTTCTTTACTGTAAGGGTGACAGACCACCGGAACAGGTTGCCCAGAGAAGTTGCGGAGCATCCTCTGGAGACATTCAAAACCTGCTTGGATGCTATCCTGTGCAGTATGCTCTAGGTGACCCTGCTCAGCAGGTGGGTTGGACTGGATCATCTTCAGAGGTCCCTTCCAACCTCAGCCGTTCTGTGATTCTGTCCCTGTCCTCTTCCCACTAATTTCAGTAGTGCCATACTAGACTTTGAAGAACCATTGATTTAGGAGGAGCTGAGATACTAAATGGTTTAGAAGGTAAGCCTTTCAATGCAAAATAGCTTAGAAGAGCTCCTGACATTCTCTAACTTCCAATATGCTGAGGTAGTTTCAGCAAGTTGGCTTACATTGCATGGCTGAGTTAATGACCAATCCATGACTGAGGACTGCCCAACTAGATCTTTATAACAAACTGCACAAGCCAACAACATATTGGTCCAGAGATTTTTATTGATACAAATTCTCCTCTGAGGTAATTTGTCTGGATCAAAACTTGACATGTTGATTTGTAAACTTAATTAACTGTGGTCTCAATAAGAGCCAAGATTAGGAACATCATTATTAATTAGATCCTTTTAGGTAACACAGTGGTTGAATTAGCTAAATAAAAATCGTGGAGAAGCTGGCAAGATAACACTCCACTGATGGATGCAGTTTCATCCTGCAAAAGCAAATGCAGGGAGCATTATACATTAGCACAATAGAAATAACTACAGCATTAATAATTGGCAGTATTTAAGGTATATGCAACTCTTTTCTATATAAAGACATAGTTACTCTAACAATATCTTCCTGCCCTGGAAAAAAAAGTAATCTTTAGCCTCTTGATATGATGTCAGAATATAATGATGATCTTTACTCTCAGATAAGGAACTAAGGACCAGCCCTACTAAAAATATATTTGTGAGATTGGATGAAGAAAATTCACTATATTTTCCTCTTATTTGTGTTTCTGTAGTATGCTTTTCATTATAGTACTGAACCAGTATTGCCCATCAATATCAATTATTGGAACATTTTAAAGGTGTCCTTTGATTGAGGTGTTATGTTTTTCATGAATCCTGGATCTCCATTTTTATAATATGATAATGTATGGACACACACCACTTAGAAATTCTAAACATTCTGGTCCCTGGAGAGAACTCTGGGAGTAACACAGGCACTGACCACTGTAGCAGAAACCCTAACCAGGTCCTTCTTTTCAAAAGTTTAGAATTGCACCAGTGCAGATTTCTGTGAAATGGTTTCACATACCTGGTTCTATGCTGTTCCTTTTCAAATTAAGGCCCTTCTCTCTATCTTTTGCAAATTTTACTGTAGTAAGGTTTGACCATTCCTCTGCTAGGAAAGCATTTTAAAAGCACAGATTATTATGTATTTACAAGAATAGTTCCTACACAATAGTCAGAATTTCATGTAAGTAGTGAAAACTGATACTTACTGGCACAATTGTTGTAATAAAACTCCACCTGATAAGTTTAGCTGTGCTTAATTGTTCCCTACATACACTTAAACCTGCAATGGTAGTGATAACTGCTAATAAGTGGTGAGACTGAATTGTATAAGGAAATTCTAAAATTATTGGAGTCAAAAATCTGAAAAATTGATAGAAAAAAAATCAAGGCAATTATAAACCTTAAAATATTTAAAATTGCAGAGCTTTTTAGAAAAAAAAAAAAGTATTTTCTTGTATTTTCATGTATTTTCTTTTACTCTCACTAAAAAAAAAAAAAAAAACAGAACTGAAACTGAGCAGCTGACAAACTCGATCATTTGCAGTAAGTCACAATTAAATGGAGGCTGCCAGACTCAATTAACATATCAGTTTAGTTCAGATAGTGTTCTGTCAAACTGAAGGAAGAACTTCAGTTTGGGGGGGGGGGGGGAGAGCTCATGGATCATTTCCAACACTGTTGCCACTGTTTAAACAAAAGCCTAAAAATTGTAGCTGATTAGGAATCCACATATTAAATATGTCAACCAAAAAACGGCATAATGAAACACTTGCATGCATGTCCACAATAAGTCATCTTAATGTATGTTAAAGACACTTGTTGCTATGCTTTCAATCTAATGGTGGGGGGATGACTGGGTTTGCTGCCTTTTTTTTTTTTTTAAGTAAGCATGGTGAGAAAAAAAAAAAAAAAAAAGTTTCCTTAAAGTATAGGAGTACCTTTTAAAGGGGAGCATCTGGATCTATTTTATTATAACTAGTAAGTATTGCACTGTTAGGAGTTGAATACACTCAGCAGGCATGTATAGGGTTTTCCTCCTCCACCCAGCCACATTTCAACAAAATTTAACATTCTTTGCTAAATTCAGTTCAAAATGGCCAATAGACTCCAAATTTGCAATGAGATGGGGTCAACAGACAGCAGAAAAGCCCATAAACCGCTTTCCCTTAAGACACCAAGCTACAAAATAATATGTAAATTGGGCCAGAATGGATGTCTGTGCAAGCATGAGGTAACAAGAGTCAGCAGACACCAAAGCAGTGGATGTTACAAGATTTTCTTTAATTCAAAGGGCACGTCATGGGATTCTTTTCCACTATCTAATTTTCAGATCAGTCCATCTGAATGAGGCCTGGCAGCAGCCTTGCTCTTTCCAGAAGAAAATGAATCTACTTCTCTTCTACCAAAAGGTTGAAAACCACTCAGTGTCTTCAGCTACCGAATACCTTACTTCCATTCTCATACATCACTTTAATATCTGCAGACAGTTTGAGCATATTTATTAACCTGAATCTTGAGGGGGGGGGGGGGGGGGGGGGAGGGGGCGGGAAATGAAGAAGAAGAACAAAAATCCCTCACTTTCCTTGCCTTTTTTTTTTAATTCGGAAGTTTTACAGAAGCTTAAAAACTCTACATAAAAAGAGGACGAATTGATTGCACAATGAGCACTAGCTTACTGAGAAGATCTTGCACATGTAACTCACCCCATCAAGCATTTGGCTCTACACGCAGTGTTGTGTCAAGGATAAGAGAAAAATGAAGAAGAGGACATTATTTTATCTCTCACAAAGGAGTGTGGCAGGACTGTAAAGAAGCCGTAAACTCTGCTGCTGTTTGTGTTTTTATTTATTTTTTAATGCAGAATGAAGTCTCTTCAAGGCAGCCACACACCTGCCTTAATAAGACTAGTTAATAACTTAGTCATTTAGCAGCTCAGTTTCAGAAAATCTGGCACAATCACTGTTCCTGAAGTATAATGACCGCCACAAACTTCAGAAAAAAGCTCCCTCACCAAATGGCTACAGTATTTTTTCTCTCTGTTTTGTTTAATTTTAACAGAAGTAATAAGTGCTGTAGCTGATTGCATTATTCTGTTTACCCCCTTTGGCAAAAAAAGTTAGCATTTCAGTGCCACTTACCCTGTCACTTTTCATTCCCATTCCTCACAGACTTCCCCTACTTTCTGCTTGCCTTGTAAATAAGTATTGTGACTCTGTAAATAAGCATTGTGTCTCCCAGCTAATGTTCAGGCTTCCAGAACTGACAGCCAATTAACCATCTTTTGGCTGCTCTTGGAGCATGTGTCTTCTGCCAACATCTGAACCCAATCCATGAAAATCAGCTCTATCTAAGCGCAGATGTTTTCTTGATTGCTTTCTGCAGACACAAGAGGACAATGAACCTAGTTGCCTGTGTACATTTCCCAAATGTGCACTGGCCTCTCTATCAATTCTCTCTATCAATTTCATATAGGAATTGACATGGATTGCAACATTGTGATGTGTTTGTATTATTTATCCAAAGAAAATCAAAAAAAAAAAAAAAAAAAAGGAAAAACTTCAAAATCATCCTCCGTTGCTTGCTAGCTGATAATTTATTAAACATTAGAAACTTTCAATATATGGACCTCAGACACATTAGCTCTAGGGAGTCTCTTAATATCTATAATACTCCTTCTCATTAGGAAAGAGATAAACAATTCAGAACATTTTGATATTACCCTGCTGCAGTCAGGAAAACATTTTTACATTAACCATTTGAATTTTATGGTACTGCCTGCACTATTCTCTGCTTTGCTACAACAACAGAATTAAAGAACAAGGGAAAAACAATTCTCCCTAACAGAGCTTAATTCCAGGCCTAACTTAAAGGTTCAAATGTTACATGCTCATGGAAAGATAATTAAAAAAAATTAATAACTCCATGGAAGTATGCCCTGAAGGAGTGAAACTTAGAAGACATGAAGAGGTCATCTAAGAGAATTTGTGTTTGAAACTGAAGAAGAGCTGACAGCTGCAAAGGAGTAGAGATTATGCATATTATCCAGCGATGTATTCATACAAAATACTTAGCCCTGGGAACCAGGGCTAGAAGCTGGCACTAAGCAGCCTCAGGATGCACTTTCTCATGTTCTAAATCTCTTTCTTTAGCCATTTAACCTTTCACTCTTATCTCTGTGGACTCAGAAGTTGCCTCATCTCACTGGCCTTTCACCTAGGGATAGCAGACTCCTTTCAGAAAGAAGGAAGTCTAGTGCTGGGGTTTAGCTTTCAAATCTATGGTGGTTTTATCGTGCTAGGCAGCTGAACATCACAACCGCCCCCTCACTCCCCCTCCTTGGAAGAGGAGGGGAAGAAGTAAAGGAAAGAACAACTCATGGGTTGAGATAAGGATAATTTTATAAAAGTAAAAAAATAATTATTAAGGAAAGATTATTATTAATTAAACGAATTAACTAGAGGGAGAAAAATGAAAGGGGAAAAAGGAAGTGGAAGAGGAAAAACAAAACAAAACAAACAAACAAAAAGTAAAGGCTATGTGGAAGTACAGAGGAAAAAAAAATTACTCTCTACTTCCCACAAATGAGTGATGCTTGACCACGTCCTTGAAGCAGGGCCTCAACAAACATAGCCAGTGTTTGGGAGGACAGACATTTTTGCAACGAGAGCCCACTCCTCCCCTCTAGAGCCCACCCCTCCCCTCTTCTTCCTTTTTCCACCTCTTATTGCTGAGTGTGACATCACATGGTATGGAATATCCCTTTGGTTGGTTTAGGTCAGCTGCCCTAGTGATGTTCCTTTCTCACTTTTTTGCCCACCTCCTAGAAGGGTTAGAGAGAGTCCTGATGTGGTGCCAGCACTGGTCAGCAGCAGACACAACACTGGTGTGATACCACTGCTGTTCTAGCTACAAGTGCAGAGCACAACACTGTACTGGCTGCTGCAGGGAAATTTAACATCCCAGCCAGACCCAGTACAAAGTCCTACCTAACCTGCATAACATTTGCAAAACAATTAGGTGCTAGATTGCATCTAGTTTAGATAATATGCTAACACTGATGCACATTCACATGTATTTTTTAATGTTAATTTTCCATCGTCTAAGAGCACACCACCAATAATTTCACAGTATTTTGAAAACATATTTTGAAAAAAATTTTTAGAAAATAAGAAAGCAAAGCTTCTCTTTCTCTAGTAAAACAGTCATAGCTATTAGGAAAGGATGGAGATAAGATCCTGCACCCACTACCCCCACACAATATATATATATGCACAAGTGAACACAGAAAAGCACTACAGCAGTGACTAAATTTGAACAGCAGTTCACTTTTTTTATAGTCACATACAGGGATGTATTTCTCTGTTCTTACATAATGACAAACCAAAATTAATGAGCTTTCCACTTTTTCTTTTGATCTCCTATAACCGTTAGTGTAACCACCAGGTGATACCACCACTAACCAAACACACTACATGTGCTCCACACACATTACAGAATTTTCCAGGTTTACTGAAATTTAGCATAGTTCCACCTAAGAAGACAAGCTATTTGATGAACAGCCAGTTGTTTAAGTAAGTTATGCAGTCACAAACTAAAAGGCATATAAGGATGTGGCACTCATACAGGTCAAGAGTCTATTTAGCTCCATCTCCTGTCTGCAGCAGTGACTGAGTTCAGATGCTGATGCACTTGCAGCTTCAAGTGCTTCATTCACAGTGTCTGGTACTTATTGCAATAAAGCCATGACATACTAGACAGTTTATAAGAATTCAGTCTATTTTCTGGGCCTGACCATGACACAGGCAATGCTTTACAAAACATAAATGTGCAGCAGTTGGCAGGGAATCCAGCATCTTCAGTCATATTCAATCTCTCTTAGGCTTTGGCACGTGTACAAGAGCAACAGGTATGCTCATGCAGCTCAGGTATGGTGTAGGACACTTCTGCTCTTACTGCAGGCCTCAGCAGTCACAAGTGCTGGTGCCAAGGAAACCCACTCTATTTAATTTAATTTGCTAGAAACAAGTGATATTTATGAGAAGTTTCTCTTCCTCGAGTAAAGTAAATTTATTACCGGAATGGAGGCCAAATCCACTAAGACCTTGCTATCCAGACCTGCCATCATGGTTCAATGTACCATGGAATAATCAGAAGCATTTCCATTTTGCAGGATTTTATATTTGAATTGATTGAAAGTTGTAGTTCTTGCCAGCCAGCAAACATTCAAGACATCAGTTTGGGAAATTATTCAAAGAAAGTTTAAACTTGAAACACTATCTGTTTTATCACTGAGTCTTTTGTTGGGGAACTGTGACAGACATAAGTAATTCTTGGCACACAGTGAATTCAAAAGTGAGTTTATAGTTTGAAATTATTTTTTTCTGGCAGTTATTAGTAACAGAGATTCCAACAGCTTGGTAGTTAAAATGTAATTAAAGTAGTACTCATATTTAAACACCAGTTCTACTCATTTCAAATGCACATATTGACAAATATCAGTGAGTGACTGACTACCACAGAGAAGTTAATAGTGCAGCATTAAGAACAGGTGCTGTGATTCAAAATAGTTTTCATGTTGTAAAAAAAAAAAAAAAAAAAAAAAAAAAGCTTCAGCTAAAAAGAGAAGGTGCATTTTGACATGCAAAACACTATTGCACGTCAGATTCATAAGGGAACCAAAGGAACAGATACAGCTCATTGAATCAATGGAGTTCATTAGTGAAATTGTCAGTGTATATTCTCATGTACTATTCAAAGGCATTTGCAGATGTATCCAGCATGGCAAAAAGTTATTTGCCTTTGCTCTAATTTTGAGATTTGTCCTGCCACATTTGGCAAACAATGAAATTCAAACAATGGCCTGTCTTCATACCTCATATTCATCCATTTTCCCATTTGGCTGGAGTGCCATAATAATCAGGTTAGGTTGTCCATCAGATACGCACTTGAGCATTTAGAATGATCAATATTTTGTCATCACTTATTTAACATGTAATTTGAAATTTGTTTCATTCTTTACTAGCAACCCGGATTTTTTCTGTTCAAACTGAAGCACTTCAGGCTAATTTCATTTTAAGTGTATAAGCATGGCACAGAACCACATCTGTATTCTGACTGAATTTAGCACCGACTTTGACAAACTTTTTCAGAACATTAGTGTCCAATAGTTATTTTCAGGGTCAAAGTTATGCCCTGAACACTAAATTATAAAAGCCTGGCTTAGATGTAACAAAAATATGTAGCACATAGTATCACACAGCAAGGGGAATACTTGTCCTGTCACTTTCCAACACTGCGTGCAGGAAATTACCTGTCTCTGGAGTCTGACATAACCTGTGGAAGATCTCCAGAGGCAGAAAGGATGCACTGTTATTATGAAACAAATCAGGGAACAGGGAACAGCAATATCTAAGACTCTCCTTTAATTTTTCCTCTAAAAATTCATAATAAACTAGCAAAAGATTAAGATTTGGTGATTAGCACCTGAATAATAACAAGTAATTATTTTTGAGCCAAACAAGGATAGAGTAACCTGGGTAATTTATACTGGGTAATTAAGGTAATGAATACTTGAGAGTCTATCAAATAAATAGTCCCTAGAAGTGTCATTTTAATAGGGGCATGATTATAGGCAACACCAAAGAGGACTGAAACAGGTACAGTATACCTGTTTCAGACACATGATTTAAAAAGGCATAAATCTCAACACTGAGCCTTCCTCTAAATTCCTCATTGAATATGGCCCATTCCTCTAAGACTGTTTATATCGGCAAATCTCCTATCAAATTAACTGGAATATTATAACCAATATCACTACCTGCATGAACGCAATTATTTAGATTCTTTTTGTTTTTTTACAGCAACATGAAAAGAGAGGAAGCATGGGCTAGCGTTTCCAATACAACACCTCAGCAGGATAATAAAATAGGCAAAGTCTTTTTAAATTATGTATCCTGCCACAAAGCTGTTGTGTATTGAATCCAGCACTAAATCAAGATGGTTATATTTTCTGTGTCCTCTAGATTAATAGAAGTTGCTTGAGCAGCACTTTTCTAATACTTTAACAAACAACATGGGGGGTGAGTCATTCTTCTGAATCCATTTGTGTGCCTTGGCCAGAGAAATGAAGCTGCAGAAGAGCTGTTGCCAACTATCTCGGCAAGATCCAACATTATAGCACTCCTCAGACAAATTATGACCAATTCTTAGCACATTTTGAAATGTTGTCACTCTTTCTTAACACAGACTGGG